TATCGTGGTTGCCTTTTTATTATCCGTGAACGGTTTACAAGTTCCTTAAAAACTTGTTGGCGGCTCCCTACTTTATTTGTCCCTAATCGTATTGTGTCAATTCCCACTTCCTATGAGTGTCAAGCATATTCACAACATGCTTTTACGTAGGCGCACTTCGAACGACGCCTACAGTGACAAACAACACTTATTATTTATCCCTTTACTACCTCGGTGTATAAACACCTTGAGTGCATAAGGCACCCCAAACCTTAACCTCATCTTATAAGACTTGAATTCTTCCTTTACTCATCCTGTTTGCATAATCATGAATGAGTAATAAATTAATCTTTACACCAATCACATACCTTTGCCTGAAAGCGCACCTTGCATAATTAGAGCACAAATAATACTTGCAATATAAAATAGTGCACATCATTTGAAATTCACAATGTATAACCAAACAATTTAACTCAGTCAATCCTATACATGATACTAAGTTCTCGATTCGTCCTTAGACATGCACCTACAAGCAAGGTTTCGTAACTTGTACGTACCTTGAGCAAACGAATTGGTATGCCACTTTACTAACTAGAAATCACCTTTAATAAAATCCTCTCCTAAACCAAATAATCACATCTCAAAAAAAGAAGACACGTGATTACCTTCACAATACCAAATTACAAGTAAAGCTCTTTCACTGGATTTATGAAAAGGGAAAAAGAAACAAAATTAATCATCATAAACAATGATCTTCTCGATGCCGAAACTCACACTTGTGCAGCAAACTTAGAATATAAGAACAAGAGCATAAAAAAAATATATATCACATTGCCCCCCCCTTTTTTAACGTATATGCATATATAAATATAAGGTTTTTTTGTAAAAAAAATAATAAGTATCTTTTAAGGGTTAAAAATACTTATAGGGTTTAAAATAGTTTATGTACTTTTTAAACTGTACAGTGCTATTGAAATAAAATAGGGTTTTAAAACTTTTCGAACTCCAAAATAAAATATGATATTAGTAAAGTTATTTAATAGATAAAATAAACTATTTTATTTATAAAATACATTATATAAACTCATAAAATATTCGGGTATTACACCAATACTCTTCAATAATTTGCTCAATTCTTTGTTCCATTGTCTTGAAGCCTGTTTAAGTCCATATATGGACTTCTTAAGTCTACAAACTTGACTAGGTTGTGCCTTTTTATACCCAGCAGGAGGAAGCATGTAGACTTCTTCATCCAAGAATCCATGCAAAAATGCATTATTCACATCAAGCTGACATAAAGGCCATTTATTCACAGTTGCTACATCAATCACCACTCTAATAGTAGCCAATTTTTCCAATGGAGAAAAAGTTTGAGTAAAATCTTGACCCTCTACTTGTTGATACCCAATAGCAACTACTTTTCCTTTATACCTTTCAATGATACCATCAGGATTCAATTTTGTTTTATACACCCACTTGGAACCAATAATTGTCTTTCCTTTAGGCAATACAGTCAGATCCCAATTATCATTGTCTTCAAGAGCCTTTAACTCTTTATCCATTGCTGCAACCCAATTTGGGTAATTTTTAGCCTGATTATAGTACTTAGGCTATACAATCTGACAAGAGTTAACTGCAAAAGACTGAGATGATTGAGAATGCTCAGCAGCAGTATTTTTGTGAGGAATATAAGTGTTAACAAAGTCTTTAAAATTTGTAGAAGGTTTAATAGGTCTTGAAGAACATCTTGGAACAGAATTGTGTTTAGAAATAGGATAAAAAACATTATGTATTTGATTTGTATGAGAAGAAGAAGAAGATTGTGTAGAGGAAGATGAAGATAAAATATCAGAAGAAACATTTATGTTTTCATTCTGATGAAAAATAGGTATTTGTGTTTGGGTTTGTATTTGAGGTTGTGTTTGGGTTTGTGTTTGAGGTTGTGTTTGGGTTATATCAGTTTCTGAACTAAAACTGACAATATCATGTGGAGACAGGACATAACTTGTATCTTTGTTTTCACCATGAAATGGAAATATATTTTCAAAGAATATAACATCCCTTGACACAAAAACATTATGAGTTGACAAATCATACAATTTGAAGGATTTCTGACCAAAAGGATAACCAAGAAATATACATTTTCTTGATCTAGAATCAAACTTATCTCTGTGAGTGCTTAGATTATAAGCATAATAACAAATTAAAGACAACCTACTACTCTTAATTCAGAGTATGAAAGAGCTTTCTGAAATAACAACTCATAAGGAGATTTCCACTTCAACAATTTAACAGGCATTTTATTTATCAAATGAGCAGCAGTAAGAATACAATCACCCCAAAACTTCTTAGGCAAATTAGCATGAAATCTAATTGCCCTAGCTACCTCAAGTAGATGTCTGTGTTTCCTTTCAACTCTCCCATTTTGTTGAGGAACCTTAGGAACACTTTTCTGATGTATAATGCCCTTAACAACAAACAGCTCCAAACATTGCTCCTTTACTAATTCTGTCCCATTACCAAATCTTACTACTTTTACTTTCTTCTGAAATTGAGTTTCTACCATTGATAGAAAATTACTAACTGTCTTTGACACTTGCATCTTGTTATGTAACAAAAATGTCCAAGTAACCCTACTATAATCATCCAGGACAGTAAGAAAATAAGATGCTCCATTCAAGGCAACAACTCTGAAAGGTCCCCACAAATCAATATGTATCAAATAAAAAATTGCTTCAGCTCTACTAGTACTCATAGGAAAAGGCATTTTGTGTTGTTTTGAATGTAAACACACTCCACAGTTATATTCAGTTAAAGCATCACACTTACAAACTCCAATATGCTTCATTTTAGACAAAGAAACATGCCCTAGCCTAGCATGTAATAGGTCTAAACTCACTTCCTTATTTCTACTAATATCACTATTATCAGTTTAGTTTGGTAAAGTAACAACTAAACCATTATTTTCAACTGACATAGCACTACTATTACCAATAGAATTATTACCTCTATCTTCAAGAAATTCTGTATTCTCTTTGGCAAAATAATACAGACCATTCTGCCTTTTTCCTTGTCCAATCACAGCTTTACTAGAAAGGTCCTGAAATAAGCAACCATTTCTAGTGAATACCACCTTAACTCCAGTCTGATCTATCAATCTACCAATAGACATCAGATTATGCTTAAAACCATCCACAAGCATTACATAATGTAGAACCAAATTCTCATTCAAACACACACTACCAACCAACTTCACATGCTTGAAAGTACCATCAGGCAAAATTACCCTAATAGGTCTATCAAGCACTCTTTTATTCACCAGTAACTTATCATCATAAATCATATGATCACATGCTCCAGAGTCAATAATCCACAGAATATTATCACCTACATTATGCACTGCACAACTAAGTGAACAAGATTCTGTACCTGCAAAGTTGGCAAATGAAACATTGGATTCACCAGCAACCTGCTTTCCTTTCATAGAACGCATCACTTCTTGACATATTGCAGTCAGCATCTCAAAATCTACAGCTCCAGAACTCACATTGTTGCTCAGATCAAATGGAGAATCTGCCTGTTCTTGACTGACATTAGCAGCCATCCTGTTACCACCAAACTGATTCACAGGTGCCTTTGATGCCTTAATGACATTGTACCATTCAGGGTACCCGATCAACTTGAAACACTGATCAATTGTGTGACCTTTACCCTTGCAATGATCACATCTTTTATCCAGCTTCTCTTTCTTCCAATCTCTTCTTCCTTGATTATAACCACCTTGATTAGGCCTGTGTTGACCCCCATTCTTCATAATAAGTTGAGCAGCCATAGCACTACTTTCTGTAATCATCTCACCAGATCCACTAACCTCCTTCTGCTTCTCAATTTGTTGAGCAATAGAGAAAGCTCTATTGATAGTAGGTAAAGGATCCATCGACAGAATATTAGTGATTGTTGAATTAAAACCACTATTAATTCCAAGTAAAAACTGCATTAACCTATCTTCTCCATCAAGATATGCCAATTTCTTGAGGAATTGACAAGTACAAGAATTCAGTGCACAAGAAAAAACAGGAAAAGCTCTTAAACTCTACAATTCATCCCATAATTTCTTGATTTTTCCATAGTAAGCAATTATGGTCATATTTTCTTGTTTCAAAGCATCAATCTCCTTCTTAAGTTGATAAACCAAATGACCATTAGACTGACCAAATCTTTCTTGTAATTCACACCACAACTCCATTGACGACTCAATGTAAGCAAAATCATCAGCCAAATCAGCACTCATAGAACTCAAAATCCAGCTAACAACCATATAATCTGCTCTCTTCCATTTCTAATAATCTTTATCAGTAATTTCAGGTTTCTAAACACTATCAGTAATGAAACCATCTTTGTTCTTAGCAGTTAAAGCACGTTTGACACTACGACTCCATCGTATAAAGTTCTGACCAGAAAATTGAACAGCAACTAACGAAGCAGTAGGATCATGGCATCATTAACATCCATTGCCGCCATTAGAACAACAAGAAATCGCAATCGAAATCAACCGAGAGAAAAAAAACGAGAATCAAATCACACCAAATTGATTACAAAATCGCAATCAACAATCAAAAACAATCACCGAAAGTCCAAGATATGCAAGAAAATTTCTTAATCGCAAGAAATCTTCGCAATCGAACAAACAAAATCAAGCGAAAAACAGAGTCAATCAACAAAATCAATCGAAAAATTCAAGAACCCTAATCTCAAGTGAGATACGACTCTGATACCATATAGAAATGTAGAGAGAATGTGAGGAAAACGAGAGAAAATTGTATATTGAAGTATTAGAATTGTATTGTACAAAAATCAGAATAAATGAAGACTAAGCTATTTATATACAAGTTAGTTACAACTAACTACCTGACATCATAAATGAAAATAATATATTTAATAGTTACTCCGATAAATTTTCTTATGCCAATTACACTTGCATGACAGTCGTTATATAGTCATGAGTGTTCAATTAGGAGTACAATAATTACATACATATAGCCATATAAATTCATAAGGTGTGGACTCATATGAGTATTGCAACACCAAATTAATAATTGGCATTCCCATTATCTTCTAACAGCCGTCAATTTTTTGAAAAAAATTTCAAATTTACAGACACTTTAGTAGAATTGAATTAAAAAAAAAAAAAAAAACGCTATAAACCTTGTACTCCAGTTCAGTAAGTGATAGAGTGATAGCCGTTAGGACGTTACACAGGCTCAAATTTCAATTTTGATCAGTGCCAACCCTAAACAAGAGTCAATGGAAACAGGGTCGATTGAAGTTGCAAAAGTCGGTGGCAAATCCACCGTATCCCGCTGTTTCTCCAAGTATCCCCTCAAATTCATTGTACCCAATAAGGTATTCAACAAATTCTCGACTTCAAATTTTCTGGGTTATGATTTTTCAAGCATTATTGTTTGATTTTGATCATCTTGTAAAAAACCCTTTTTCAGGTGGGTAATAGAAATGCTGATTGCGTCTGGATTTACTCTCTTAGCTATGGAGGTGGAATTGTTTCTGTATGTTTTTTTTCTTCTTCTCAATTTTCCTTAATTTCGCCTTTAATTAACTTATATTTGGCCTGAATTTGTGGAAATTGTTGGGATTTAGGGTGATTCAATAAAATGTAATTTTACCATTGGAGATGGGTGCACTGCTGTGTTGACTACACAGACTTCAACTAAGGTACTTTCTTTAATTTTGAACTTATGGTTATTTTAATGTGGTCTATTGTTCGATGTTAACGGCCGGTTTGGGAGGCGATAATCATCAATCATCAATAACTATATACTAAAAGACACACCAGCTCCTTAGTTTTTTTTTTTTTATTTATTTTTTTATTTTTTAAGAAACAAATCTTATACAAATGTAGCTCTCTAATTTTATACAATATAATTACTTAAAATAAAAAAAGATTTGACATATCTTTAACACAAAATATTTATATAGCTATAAAAAAAACATTCTTAACATAAGTTTGATAACTTTTTACATCAAAATTTGTCAACTATTTTTTTAGATTTTATTTTGTTTAATTATAAATTATAATGATAGTTTAAAAATGATTATTGAAAATTTTCGTGTATGGCACGGGAACTAACCTAGTAATAATAAATTTATATGGTGTAGGTAACTATGTAATGCAATACCCTAGTAATGCTCGTTTTATGTTTTACTCCGAACTGTAGTATATATGTATGGAAAAAATTGTTGGGTATTAGTCAATTAAGTGTGGAAAAAGAAAAACACATGTTTTGACATTAGCATGTGATGTTCGTTGCAAAATTACATATAAAATCATTAATATTGCCGCTGCCATACAATAGTGTACCGACTTGATGGTTTAATTCAAAGAATAGAAAATGTGTTTACAGGCTGATTTTATATGGTAAATATGTTTCAATGGAAATCAGACATTAAAATTTATATTTCTATGTGTGAAGGTATACAAATCTGTTGCATCAAAGGGCTCAGAGCAAATTTTGGAGGTATGATTCCCATTTGAATAATTAATAAGGCTGTTATACCTAGCATACTCTTTAGGTTCTATTTATTTTGATGTAAGGAAGACAATTGGTTCAGCAGATATCTTTTGGCTTTTTTGTCAAAGATTTCTGTGTATACAGGGCGGAGGATTTTTAAGCTAGGGGGCCGATGGTTGAATCAATATATAAATATGTGGATCATTATCATAACAATTTTTTTTGGATCTTGCTAAGCATTTAAAATCTTACCTAAAGTGGTATTAATTTGGAAAAGCATGACAAAATCACGCGGCGACCGGTGTAATTAATGTTAGTTCTAATTTAATCTTTCTGCTTTTAACTAGCTTATCCAACTCCCTCGGGGCGTTCGTCAGCATTTTCCTTTTTTTTTTTTTTTTCCTAAATTGCAATTTATGGTTTTTCATATTAAAAAAATGCCAATAATAGATTACATGTTAAAATTATTGGCGATATTATTTTCTATGTATAAAATTGTTGTAAATCAACATGTTGACTATCAACCGTACAGCTCACTTTAAAATTAAGAGTTTCTTTTTTATGATTATACCAATCATATCATATATATATAAAAAAAAAAGGTGATCTATAGACAAATTATTACTAAACAATTAGACAAAAGTAAAAATTTGAATTTTTATACTAGAAAGGCGGTAGTTTAAATTTTTATACAATAAATACGATAATTTATAAAATAAAAAAAATGCCCAATTGAAAGATTGAAAAGATAATCTACTTTTATTAGAATTGAAGAAGTTTAGTACATAATTTTTTTTTTTGAACAAAGTTTAGTATAGAATTTAGGCAAAAATAAAAAGAAAGGAAAAAAAAAATGAAAGATAAAAAAATAAAATTGAATGAACGATCTACTAATGTGACTTAGTAGGATCGAACCTCAAAACAAAGAAGAGAAATGAAAGCCCACTAACCACTAAGCCACAAGAGTTTCTTCGTGACTTATGTGAAATAGTTAGTACATATACTAAAAAACAGCGAGGGCCAATTAATAAAAATAAGGGAAACGAGTTTGGGCTACAGGGGCCGGGCCTCTGCCAGCCCCCTTGTAGCTCCGCCCCTGCGTGTATAGATTGATGGGTGTTGGCAATGATGTATGCCACTTTGTTTATTAGTGCTAAATTATGAAGCTTCTTTTGTTTATGTATGACTAGATGACTTAAGGCACTATATGTGTTATGAGTCATTTTGAGTTTAGTTAATGATTGCAACTCAAGACTTGAAAGTTGAAGCCAAACAACAAACATAGAGAATTATTATAAGAAGATTTTGTGTTTCATATGAAACTTTTTCACTCATTTTGGGTATATCATTCTAGCTTCCGTCAAACTTATCTTCCACGAGTTAAAATTTTGAGAAAGTGGATCTTCATCATTTTTAAGATACTTGTCCATTTTCTTATCAAGGTTATAAGGAATTGTCGTGATGTCTCTAGTCCCAGTGGTAAAAGAGCATAGTACTTGTTTGTTAATGTATCTTTTGAATGCACATATTTGTATAGCTTTTGATAGCCTATCCATCTCATTGTTTCTGTAAGAAGCCTCATGTGCTCCAAGGTCATTATAAATCTTTTGTGTTTTTACTTGTGATGATTCTTGGTTATTCAAGTGCCTCGGAAGCTTACTTCCTAAATTAAGTCATGTTGAGTTTCTCTTTCTAGTTAATTGGCCTGACAAGCGTGTATGCATTTTATGACTTGAAATTGTAAGGGCTTCCCAATCAGTGATCATTAAGATGTTAATTGAAAAAAAAAAAAAAGAATATGATGTAGATGAAGCTATTTTGACTAGATGCTTTAGTTTTTTGGCAGTGCACTAGAGTGTGGGTTTAAGCTTATCCAATGGTGCTGTTTTGGATGGTATATTGTTCTACTTAATTTTTTGTAGCTTGCTTCAACAATTTTTCTGATTGGTAGTTAGATCCCCTCCTCTAAGTCATGCTCTCTGCTAGTCCTGATCAAGTTCAATCAAGGACCAATTCCCGTCCACTGGACTATGTTATCTTGACAGTGGAAGATTACTTTTTGTTGGTCATTATTCTCTTAAGCGTATTTGAACATTATTACATTGTAGCTCTGGTGGTTTAGTCGGTGGTTAGGTAGTTGCTTAGTGTTTTATAATGGCAGTGTCCTTGTGTCATCTGCCCGGGGGGTTTTGTATACACCAATTATTGCTAGTAACAATACCCAAATTTCTTATGCAGTAGGCACGGGTTGGACATGAAGCGTTACTTGCTATCATTCCAGATCCAGTGACATGTTTTGCTACCGCAAGGTATACTCAAAAGCAAGTATTCAGGGTGCTGTCAGACTCAAACTTATTGGTTGTTGATTGGTTTACAAGTGGACGCTATGAAAGCGGAGAAAGATGGAATTTTGAATCATGCAAGAGTACCAACAATATTTTCTGTGAAGATGGCCAACCTTTGTTTCTTGATACGGTTTGCTCTTTCTTTTAATGAGCAACTTCTATATCTTGACTTAGTGATACTCCCTTGCTTGAATTCCTTATATATCATTATGTCTGGTGTCCCTGCTTTTTCTGGGTTGGTTTGTCTACATATGTTCTCATGTCCACCAAAGGCAGAAGCCCTTTGTGTACATAGTCTTTGTGTTTTACATAAAATTGATATGTCATGAATCTCTTCTCATAATATAATGCAATATATTGCCAGTGCATATTGACCTGTATATCATCTGCCAGCTAGCTTTCTATCTGAGGATGGAAATGTTATATAATTACAGAAGTTCTGATTTCTTCCCGGCATTTAGTTGCACAAACTCATCTATTTCTAAAAAGTACCAGGATTGGCTGTTGATACCTTTGAATATTGTCTGTATGCATTTGTTAGTCTTTTGCAGTATCCAGTTATAAGTATGGACTAATAAAGCGTCTAATTTTCTTGGTATTCTTTACCAAAATTTTTAGGGGGTGGAAGACAGGCTTGCTTGATATGATGCCTTGTAGTTTTCTTATACATTTCTGTTACTTATGAGGTGATGCCATGGCACAGATTATACCTTTTCTTCTTTAGTCTTACTAACCAATAGAGCAAAATCCTGCTGCAGACCATTTGCTTGGTTATTGAGCACGAGTCACAGTCTGACTTCTTGACCATAAATTATCCAAGAGGCTTATTTATTTATTTATTTATTTTTATACATATAAATTTTGTAATACAATTAAACCTACTTTGATCTCTTGTTTGGTCAAAGCACCAATTCATACTATATACCATAGTCTGCGCATATTCTCATTGTTTGAACAATATACCCTATTTATACATGACTTTATGGGGCTATTAAAAAAATATGACTTTATGGAGAATGTAGTATGAACAATGTACCCTATTCTTATATGACTTTATGAGGCTATTAAAAAAATATGACATTATGGAGAATGTAGTATGAACAATGTCCCCTATTTTTATATGACTTTATGGGGCTATTTAAAAAAAAAATGACGGGGACATGTAGTTTGAGAAGGTGTCACACATGCAAATCATATCTTGCTGAAGCTCTAGATGTTTAGCTCCCATGATCTACCCTGTTCAAGAATGACTGGATCTTGCTGCTGCAGATACTGTTGGAGAAAGGAGCCACTAGCAGTATTTCAGAGTGCATGCAGGATTATCAAGTTACAGCAATGATCGTAGTATTGGGGTATGATCATTTCTTTATGCTGGATCTTTGAGCTTCGTTTTATCATGCTATAATCATGCTCTTTACACTGTTTTAATAAACTGTATGAGGTTGAGTGAAACTGTTTGCTGTTCCCATTGTAATTCTACGGCATGCTCATATTTAGATTTCGGCCTTTAGATTTCTACTAAGATAGTTTTGTTTATAATACAACGGTTCCAGGAAAATAAGAAGTACAACACATTTGGTGCCAAGAGCATCAAACTGCAATGTTTTGGACACTGAAGACCAAAAGAAAAAAAAATGATTCCGTTAAAAAAAATGTTATAGACAAGTCTTAGTATGGAAAACTAGTAAGGATGCCTCACCTAAATTTAAGCTGAGAAATTTAAAGCTTTCATGGACAGATTGCTCAACATAAAACAGCTTACATTTGAATTAAAGGGTTCACACCTTAGACAGATTGCTAACCAAGAATATTGACCTTACTAAATGCTACAAACACTATGACCTCCTAAAACCCTGAATTCTGTTAACCGTAAATTTTAAACAAGAATCACTTCCAAGTATTATTTTTTAATTTCATTTCTCATTCAATCATCTAATCTTACTAATTATACACATAATGAGATCATTACTCTATACATAGAAGGTACTGTAAAAAGTTTACCAAATGGGAAAAAGAAATGAAAATACTACAGAAAAATTGCTTTTTATAGTACTTAAAAATCTGCCTTTTTTATAGTTTGTAAAACTTCAATCATTCGTACATATTGCATCATAAGCCTCAAATAGTTGCAAGGCAAATCAAAAAATCGTTTCACATGAATAAAACTAACACAGATGAAAAGATAGAGACTGAATAAGACATGTTAGTCAAATATGGCTCAAAAATCTCACAAAGGTTCTCAAGCTATTTACATTAGTCGAGTAAGGAGACCATTTTGGCCACCTAACAAGCTTAATTCCAAATTGATCAGTAAATGGGTTTTCAAAAACAAGTTTTCCAATTTCAAAAGTCGCACATGCATTAACACCATTGTTAGGGCATTAGTCGTATTAAAGACACTAAAGATGTTAAACACTCAAAATAAAGAAAAACTAACACAACTAATATATACAAAGAAAAATATTCCTTCAACCAAGCTAAATTTCCCATTATTGTCCTCAATGTGTACATATAACGATAAAAGCATTCAAAAGGGAAGTAAGCACTGGGCCCAATTGGCGGAGTTAGGACCGCCCTTAAAATAATGTCGCATCATGTTACTAAGACCATAATATTCCGACTGCATCAAAAGTATATTGGCTCTTCATCTTATCGAAAGTTTTGGCCATGCTATCATGGGATTGCACCACAAGTTTGCTTGAGCCCATTTAAGGTAACAAAGGTGTTTGCTAGAAATTCTTAGCCACATTAAAATAAAACTCTTAGCGGGAAGATGTTTACCCATGGGTCAGCGGCTAACCAAAGGTGGCTATATGACTATGAGCCATAGGCGTAGTCTTGGACATAGAAACCCTGTGTGAACTATAACACATATGAGATGGCTAAGGTGAACATTGGCTACGACCAGCGGGAAGATGTTTACCCATGGGTCAACTAATGCGAACGTTGCTGGGACTAACCCACCAAATAGTTTGGTACGACACACACCAGTTACATGGCTCGTGGGTTGGTTAAGTTGCATGTTTGAAGTTTTAGACAGGTTGGTCATTGTGGTCACTACAAAGGAATGTTTCACGTACTCAAATGAAACATTTTAGCCAAACAATACTTATAACCTAAAACAAGTCTAAGGCAAGTAGAGGATAGCTAATAAAGCATCAAACATGCGAACAACTATAAGCTAACTTGGTCATATGATTAGTTTTTGATTACTTAACTACTTTATGTCCTTATTAAGCTAAGGGAGAAACTATGGGAGACAAACTCTAGGGGGAGACGAAATTCAACACCAACCAAACCAATGAATCGATAAATAGAATAAAACATGAATATGCTTGGGTGATGGAACGGGAACTCAATGTTGTCTTCATTACTAGCCACAACACTAAGCGTTTCTTAAACCAAACAACTAACATGATAAGTTACAATCTTAGGAAGTGGATTTCTAGCTCTTGTTTGTCTTTGTCTTTACGAGATAACATGAAGCACAAATAATTGAGATTTCTTACCTAATTATCACACTAAAGCACCCTAATCAATGAAGCAAGACATTCATAATCATAAAAGAGATGTAGTCTAATTGCACATAAAGAAGACCTACTACCAAACTTCATCTTTCAATCCGAGTATAAGAGTGAACAAATGAGCATAAAGTTTGCCACCAAAGTACACATGCAATTAATCAACTCAAGAGCAAACAACATCAACCCATATGGAACTTGAAAATATCCAAGATTAATAAACCCATTCACCCAATTCCTAGCTAAAAGACTACTCACAATTCATGGTGGAAAACAACATGCTAACTAACACGATAAAGTCGTATCACCTAATCAAAAGTAATTCCTAAAACCACTTACTAATAATAGATAGGGAAGTAGGGTCGTATCCGCAGGGAAAAAGTCTTTCGATTCCTAATTAATTAATATAGTCTAAATTACCAAGAAACAAATAAGAGTTTTGTATGAATTAATCTGAGAGAATAACCAATAATAAAAATCCTAGGGTCACAGATTCACCAATTCATTGTATTCGTGCACTTTAAAGATAGTGTGGTGGGTCCAGTAACCTTTTATATTTTAGAATCTGCAAGGTTAGCACCAAAGCCAATAATAAGTAAAGTAATCATCCCCCCAATAGCAACTTCACCTAACCCCTCAGCCACAAAAGTAAACAATCCATGAAACAAGAACCAGGGTTAAAGGTCCTTTGGAGAACATCCTCATCTTATTGGACGTCCCAAATAGATTTAACAATCATGTGCCATTGAAATTACAATTTTTTTGATGAGCAAACTCCCCATTACTATTCCTAGCGAAGATAGTCCAAGAAAGAAGTCTCTAAATAATGCGAATAACAGGATAGATTACGCAAGAGACCTTAGATCTACTCGGGTCGTATTGCATTAGGCCGGTAAGATCTCTCCAAAAGGCACTGTCATCATAGCCCTCTACTCCTCTATCCTAGTTTGGTGAGGTTGACCTAACTTCCTATCAATAGGAAAACCTAGGAGTTTGTTTACTTCTTTGGTAGTTAGGGTTATACGTTGCCCAAAATAGTTGAACTTGATTGCCTTAGGGGTGTAGAAGTCCGACTTACGAGTGATCGAAAGAGTAGAAAGAACCTCATAGGTGATGTTAGACAAGGATGCACGGGTACGCCAACCTCTTGACGTTTCCCGTACTAGGGACGTATCGGGGATGGGTACGGTACATGTACGGCCTGGATATGTCCCCAAGGCGTACCCTTGAAAAGTGGTATGGGAAGAAAATTTGGGGACGGCAGGGAGCAACTTTAGAGATGTTTCGGGGACGGATTACCTCCTTTTCGACGTCCCTAATAGAAGCCCAACCCACTTTTTTTTTAGAAAACCCCTAATTTTACTTACCCGATTTTGATTTCTCGAAAACTCTAATATTTAAAGATGCCACCTACACTTTTTAGCACCTACAGCGACGCTAGTGAAGATCCCAGGCAGCCATTACTAAACCTTTCGAGAGAGGAGAAGAAGGTTTTTTTCTAAAAAAATTATTTAACTTTCGACTCTATAACATTTCAATTGGTATAAAAATAATTATATAAAGTACTGTAGCTTACTGCACTAGTAGAAGTAAAATATGGAATTGGAAATAGTAAAGAATTATCACGTGGAATAGGACAATAGGTAAAGTAGCTGTAATTGTATTTTTTAAAAAAAGATAAATTAGTTGTAATTATGTTAGTTTTTTTCACTCCCTTTTTTTCTTTTTTCTTTTTTAGTCTTACTTATTCCACATCTATGACTATGACTCATGTTCAGTAGAATTTAGGTTTCATTTATTTTTATTTTTTAAATTGTGTGGATTATTTCACAGACATCGTATCCTTGTCGTACCCATTTTTTGGAATTTTCATTTTGCCGTTTTCCGTCCCCGTCCCCATTTTTGTACCCGTATCCGTTTATGTGCGTTTTAGATGTTAGAGTATGTATTGGCTTGCTTAGATAGGAAACACCCTAACCTAAACGTGCAAATAACCCCTGAATTTCATTATTCACACCCAAAGTAGTGACGACATCTAAATCAAAGAATCTAGTGGGGATGATGGGTCTTTTGTGAATACGTAGGAAGTTCTCCATGTATTTCTTGTTGTCACCGAAGTCTATGCCATATATGTCAATTTGTGGTGCTTGGATTGGTGGTGGTGGTGGTAGTGGTTGTTGTGGTTGTGGTGGTGGAGTGCGAAGATTGGAGGTTGATATGTTTCATGGTTGGTTTCTTCTACGATTGGAAGTCGGGGCCATGGTTTTAAGTCAAGTCAAATATGCCCACCCAAAGAAACAAACAATCAAGAGAACACAACAAAAAAATTTCCACATTAGAAAACAATCAAGGTATTCTAGAACTACCACAATGCTTAGCTTTTTTAAATTAATTAAAGTTGTGAAATAAAGTCAAGTAGTACACCATATTAAACAAGAATCATCAATCACAATAACAATATTCATGCTCCATAAGTCATGAAAAATCAATATTACGAAGCGTGTAGTTACTTGAAAACTCTCAATCACCCACAATCAACAACGATAATCACTACAATTGAGCAAATTCAACCAGATTTCATGGGTAAAATTTTTGGATGTTGAATGGACCCGACCACCTAGAACGAAGCTTACCTGAAAACAATTTCAAGAGTTGAATAGAAGGACTTAGACCACCTTCCTTATACTCTGTTTCCCAAGGACCTTGTCATGCCATCTTTTTGTTTTTTCTTTGTACAATTTCAAACTCTCGTAAGCTTCAAGGCGGACCTTATCTAGCTCGTTTGATTGTAACAATCTCTTCTCTCACTGCTTTGGCATTGAAATTCAAACTTTTTATAGCCTAAAATGCACGGTGCTCTAGCTCAACGGGTAATCGGCATGCCTTTCCATACACAATTCTATATGGGTTTGTACCAATTGACGTTTTGAATGTCGTTCGGTTGGCGCATAGTGCATCATCAATTTTCATAGACCATTCCTTCCTTGTTCTTGCAACCGTCTTCTATAGGATAGACTTGATTTCTCGATTCGACACCTCAACTTGGCCACTAGTTTGTGGGTGATTACCAATGCCAAGCCTATGTGATACTCCATACTTTTTAAGCATTGCTTCGAAATGATGCACTCTGTCACTAATTAACACGTGTTAACCAAATCGAGGGAAAATTATTTCCTTAAAAATTTATTTACCACACAAGCATCATTGGTTGAAGTAGCAATAGCTTCAACCCACATCGAAACATAATCAACGACCACTAAGATATATTGATAACCATCGGAAGAAGGGAATAGTCTCATGAAATCTGGTTGGATTTGCTCAATGTAGTGATTATTGTTGTTGATTATGGGTGATTGAGAGTTTTTAAGTAGCTACATGCTTAGTAATATTGAATTTGCATGATAAAGCATGACTATTGTTATTGTGATTGATGATTCTTGTTGGACATGGTGTACTACTTAACTTTATTTCACAACTTGAATTTTTATTGTGCTCTCTTGATTGTTTGTTTCTTTGGATTGATTTTGGGCATATTTGACTTGACTTAAAACCATGGCCTCGTCTTCCAATTGTAGAAGAAAACAACCATGAAACACATCAACCTCCAATCTTCACACTCTACCACCACAACCACTTCAACCACAACCACCACCACCAATCCAAGCACCACAATTTGACATACATGGAATAGACTTCGGTGACGACAAGAAATACATGGACAACTTCCTACGTATTCACAACAGACCCATCATCCCCACTAGTTTCTTTGATTTAGATGTCGTCACTGAATAATGAAATTCAAGGGTTATTTGCACGTTTAGGTTGGGGTGATTTCCTATCTGAGCAAGCCGATACATACTCTAACATCACCTGTGAGGTCCTTTCTACTCTTTCAATCACTCATAAGTTGGACTTCTACACCCCTAAGGCAATCAAGTTCAACTATTTTGGACAACGTATAACCCTAACTACCAAAGAAGTTCAGGACATGGTAATGGGGGGGGGGGTTGCTCATTAAAAGAATTGTAATTTCTATGACACATGGTGGTTAATTTCGTGCAGGACGTCCAAGGAGATGAAGATGTTCTTGAAAGGACCTTTAACCCCGGTGCTTGTTTCATAGATTATTTACTTGATGTGAGGGGTTGGGAGAAAATGCTAACCCTGCAGATTCCAAAAGATAAAAGGTTGTTGAACGGTTGGACCCACCACAATATCTTTAAAGTGCATGAATACAATTAATTGGTTACGTACGCAGCGTGGTGGCCAAGGCTACGAGTGACTAGTTAGTCGGCTAAGTCTTGCAAGCCCTACACCGTATGCGTACCTACCCAGTGAAGGATTGTCGAAAATTGCAAGTTCTAGGACTTGGATCATCCCTCCGGATTTTGTTTGGCCTCCCCCACGCCCCAAAGGTGATCCATTACCGGTGGGAGGTGACCCACTGCATATGGAATAAGATGCCTCCGCAAATCAAGGTGCTCGAGGTGATCAACAACCACCACCGGAAGAGCATATAGTGGATTTGAGGACTGGTTTCAGTACTTTGAGTTCTAATTTCAAGGGCCCAAGGAGAGATTTAGAGGTGATAAGGACGGGGTATAACAACCTAGTGAAATCCCAAGATGGCATGGCCACCTCCTTCGATGAAATGAAAAATCAATTTAACATTTTGCATCCAGCATTTCACAAAATGGGTGACATGATGTCGTTACTTTGAGGGTGGTCCTAGCTCTGCCCCTAGGTATGATCCTTCCTCTACCAGTAGGGCCTAGTTTTCTCTTTCCCTTGCTTGTTCTTATTTGATATGTGCACATTGAGGACAATGTGAAGTTTAGCTTGGGGGAGGGATTACTTTTTGCTTTGTATATAGTAGTCAGTTGCTTTGGAGTTGATTTTAAGCGTTCTACACAACTATGCTCCTATGATACATTTGTGCTTTGTGAAAAGTTTCGGAAACCTATTTACTAATTTGGTTAGAATTGAGCATGTTTGTGGCTAGGATGGTCTCCCCGCTCTATTTATGTGAATAGCTGATGTTCGACTGATTTCCCTCTATTTCAGTCTTATTCTTTTCCATGTGTGATGTAGTTGTCCTTCCTACGGTTTGAGTCTTAGATTTGTTTGTTGATTATTTGGAAAAAAAATGGACATCATACACTTTTGAAAAATAGAAGGTGCATTACAAAGTCCAAATGGCATCCTTTAATTAGCAAAGGTGCCATATAGGCATGTAATGGTAGTATTTTCTTAATCATCGGGTTGGATTGGGATTTAGAAGAATCCCGAATAACCATCCAAGAAACAATAGTGGAACTATGTGATGCCAATCTTTTCTAAATTTGATCTAAAAAGGAGGAGTGAAAGTGATTTTTCTATGTGAATTTACTGAATTTTCGGTAATCAATATACATTCTCTGGTGACTGAACTTGTAGAAATGGTCTCACCCTTATCATTCTTGATGATGGTCATGCCTCCTTTCTTAGGCACAACTTAACTCGGGCTAACCCACATATTATCGGAGATAAGGTAGATTATGCTCACTTTAAAAAGTTTTAAAACCTCTTTTAAAATTTGCCAAGAATAACACGACCTTTCAACTGTCTTCCAAAAGTAAAACGACGTCTGGATTATTTCAAAAGAACACGACCTTTGACACATATCTTCTAAAAATAGAACGAAAAATCGGTAACTTGTTTTACCGATTACTTTTGACAAGTGTTTTGTTGTAATTTCTTAAGATTTATTTTTTAAAAAATTTAACATTTTATTAATATTAATGATCTTAATTTTAAAAAAAAAATAAAAAAAAATAATAAATTTTAAAAAATTTTTTAAAAAAAAAAGTAAAGGAAAAAAACACAAACACCACCCTCTTTCCGTGAACCTCCTCTACCTCCACATACATCCACCACGAACTCCCTAGAAACCACTTCTATACTTGAAACAAACCCACAAATCCCAACCAATCTCCTTTAAGTCCGCCGCAAAATCACCACCATCCTTTCCTATCACTGGGAAACTATGCGCCGATCCACCCTTGAAACCTAACCAAACCCTAACCTGTGGGAAAAGAGAGAGCTAGTGTGAAGGAAAAGGGGTGCTAGCATCTAAAACGTGGTAGGGAAAGAAGATAAAACTGGGTAGGACGTGGGGTCAAAATCGCGAACAGGGATGGAAAAGGGAAGGGAAGGGAAGGCACCGAGAAAGGGGTCGGGTGGGATGACACTAGCGAGGAGGAGGGTGGTTGGCAAAGGTTGTGTAAGGGTTTTTTTTTTTTTTCCTTTTTATAAGTTAAGGTTTTTTTTCTTTAAACGAAATTTTTTTAAAAATAATGAAATTGACCACTGACACTTTTACACGTGTCATAGGTAACCAACAAGTCACGTTGTATTACGGAAGATATGTGTCAAAGGTTGTGTTATTTTGAAATAATCTAAAGGTCGTTTCATTTTTGAAAGACTGCTGAAAGGTTGTGTAATTCTTGGCAAATTTTCCTTTATTATATACAAATATAAACGTTGGAAATATAACATTATTATCTAAATAACTAGTAAACATACTATGGATTATTACTAGCATATTGTGTATTCATACTGCATATGGAGTGTACTGTGTATTAGGTAATTCTACCAAAAGTGCCTATTAGGCCCATATCTAAAATTTGGACTAAAATTTGGCTTGGGTCGATGGGTCCTTATTATATATTTTTCAGTACTCTATTCACCTAGGATTGCCTTTTTATATACCTATGCGGGATCTTAATTTTTAGCAGTAGTAAAAGAGAGGTAATATGAAAAATATATACGGAGTACATTAAAAGCTAGTAAATCTATGGCACATTGCGAATTTTAAAAATAGACTAACTTAATATGAAAGGATGAAGAAGTAAATTAGATAAACTATGTTGGGAAGGAACAATTGTGTTAATTGTATTATGCAGTAAAGTGATGTCGTATATGGGATTCTATGATGTAGGAACCATGTCAACATCCTTGTTTAATTTGACGGTACTTATTTACATAGGCCTTTCTTTTGTTTTATGGAACTTACCATGCTTGATCGAGTGATTTACTGGTTGTAGACCAAAGATGAAGCCATTACAGAAGCAGGTTCAAAAAAATGTAGAAAATATGATGTCTGGATATTTTCAAGTCAAAACTAACATTCCAAGGCTTAGCATGAGAACAAGTTCTGAGGTTTGCTTCACAAAACCAAGCTTTATTGCATCGTGTAGTACCTTTGGCCCTGAGGTATGGTTTTCTTGTCTTATTCATTTCAAAGTTAGTTGATATTGAATGTTAGTTATGCTCCCTAAATTTTTAATGAACTTAATCATGTACTGAATGCTTAGAGATGGGAACCTTGTTTTTGTTATTGCTGTGCTACTTACGATAAAGCAAAGCATCCCTTACCATTGCAAAGTTTGTCATTCAACTGCTTCTTATAGATATTGTAATTTATAAGCACACAATACTCCCATAGCTAGGAACACTATAGCAAGGATAAAATACAACAATAGTACACTCCCTCCACATTCAAGTGCACCAATTTTTCTAATGCATAGTTTAGGATCGTCATGGCCGTGCCAAAACTGCCAGAATATTTTTTTTCCATTAATGATGTAAGTCCTTTGTACTGATATTTTTTATACTGATGGGAATTGTTTATTTTTTAGCAGCTTAGTGTTGTGCTACTTTTGGTTAATCGCATTGTGTACTGCCTTTGCCTTGCACAGGCTATATTTCCTTGGTTTTCATAGATATAGTAACTTGTAAGCACACAATGTCCTTCAACAATGAACAGTATGATGATGTTCAAACAAGAGTACTCACCCTTTCTTTCAAGTGAGCCACTTTTTCCAAAATGTAGTTTGGGATAACCTGATTTCCAACGGATTTCTTTTCATAGCAAAATTTTAATTTGTGGGAATTGTTGATTGATATTTGGTAGAGGAATAATCGATCATTGGACAATCACCCTAAAAGCTAACAATATTTCTGCCTAAACCAACCTAATACAAGTATAGGGTAAGTAAATGATCGTATCCACAGGGAATGGGTGAAGAACACCAAGAGTATGAAACGGTTGCAATCTAGTTCGTTCACAAATTAGGGGTTTTGATTAAATAACTACTATGGAGACAAACACTAGGGGGAAATGGGAATCGACACCAACCAAACTAATAGACCAAAACAATAGTCAAACATGAACACAAATTGGGTGATAGAAAGGGCACTCAACAATGCCTTCTTTCGAAGTCACAACTATAAGCATTCCTAAACCAAACTCGACTAACAAGATAGGCTAACCAAGTCTTAACGGTGGGAAGTAGATTACTAACTCGGGTTTGTCTTTCGATCGGTCCAAGAAAGTATTTAGGCGCAAGCAATTGGGATTTCTCACCTAATTGTTGCAACTAAGACTACTACATCATCCAAACAAGGAACCATAATCAAGAGGAATTTAGCATAATCATATAAGAAAAGGCTCACAACTAGACTCCATCTGTCAATGCAAGCATAGAAGTGACTACATATGCAATAAGTGGCCATCCAATTACACATGCAAATAACCAATTCTTTAACAATCAATCATCAATCCAAAATGAACTTGCAAGCACAAACATCAATCAACCCATGGCTTGGTTGGGTCTTCACCCAACCCCTAGCTAATTAACTACTCACTAATCATGGTGAAGAAAATCATAACAATAAATTCTAATTCTAGCATTAAACTAACATGCAATTAACCAAAAATTACATCGTAGAATCCATCAAAATCGGCTTCTAGAACAGGAGGAGCGCCTTCTCTCTTACGCGCTCGATCCTAACTGCGCAAAATGGCGCCGCTGTCGGGGAATGGCGTTAAGCATTGAGTTACTTGTGAAATATGTGAGACTAGTTCATTTTATTGCTTTATTTTTCTTTGTTTTCTTTGACTAACCTACTAATCTCCTATCTAGTCTTCTTTGTTTTATGCCCAAGCGCAGCAACAGGACACTTCCTCTTATGCCGTTGAACCTCGAGCTTGAAAAGTGGTAAGGGAAAATCAAAGAGAAAAGAGGGCGATAGTTGAGTCCTACTTCAAGTGAACCACAAGTGGTAGTTGAGTTCGATCATTCTAGTTCTAGTGAATCTAGTGGAGACACCACTCCATTAGAACCACCAAGGACAAATTCTCTAGCTTCTCCAACTCTTCACCCATTCGAAATGGCTCAACCTAACAAGACTTTGAGAGAGTTTGGTGTCCCTCCACCATATCAAGAAGCAAGTGGGATTGCTACTCCCGCTATCGAAGCTAATAATTTTGAGATAAGGCCCGCCCTTATCACCTTGATAGAGGGTCATCAATTCTCCGGGGCAAAGCATGAGGATCCCATCGCGCATCTTAAGCAATTCACACGGTATTGTAGCACCGTAAAGGCGAATAGGGTGACTCCGGAGTACATTCTCTTAAGCATGTTCAAATTCTCTTTAACGGGAAAGGCAAGTGATTGGCTAGATAGGTTGCCTCTAAACTCATTGAACACATGGAATGAGGTGACTTCAGCATTCCTTGGAAGGTTCATTCCTCTTGGGAAAACGGCGGAGTTGAGGTCAAAGATTTCGAACTTCCAACAAGACCTCGACGAGTCTCTTTATGATGCTTGGGAGAGATTCAAGAGCTACCAACAACAATGCCCCCACCATGGCATGAAGGATTGGCTCTTGCTCCATGGGTTTTATAGAGGTCTCTTGAGAGCGGATCGAATATTGTTGGACGGAGTATCGGGAGGACCTATCATGAACAAGCCACCCACGGAGGCATTAAAGATCATAGAGGATGTAGTTCAAAACTACACCAATTAGAGCTCCGATGAGAGAAGCACTTCTAAGAAAGGAGGAAAGTATGAGGTAAATGCTATCAACATGATTAATTCAAAATTAGATGCTTTGTCTTCTAAATTTGATCAATTGCAATCCTATTTCTCTATCCCCTTCCCGACGTCAAAATTCACATGCATCTAGTTCATTAAATGATAACATATCAATACAAATGATGTCTTGTGATGCTAGTGGAAGTGATGATCCTGTGACTTCGGAATGCTATTTGCTAAATGTTTCATGCTGCTCTTCCCCTTCCATGAAACAAGTTAATGCAATCAACAATGGTCAAACCAATCCTAGGTATGACCCCTATTCCAACACTTACAATGAGGGATGGAAACATCACCCAAACTTTGGTTGGAGAAGGGGGCCAAACCCAAGGAAATGGTCAAGGTTAATATAGTGATCAAAGAAATGTTCAAAACAATAATCAAGGAAATTATAGGAACCAAGGTAATGGTAACTATGTGTCAAATAATCAAGTGAACCATCAAAATGACAATAGGTACCACCAAAAAGGTCAATATTCTTCTAACAATAACCCACCCGGTTTAAATAAAGGAAATAGACCAACCCTTGCTTCTATCCCTCAACCTCCTCTCCAACGTTACTCGGACTCTTCATTTCACCTCACGTACCGGTGTCGGACCCTCGACACTCGGACATGGGTATGACACCCGGACACTTCACTTTTAGTTCAAAATCATGGAATTTTTTCACAAAATAGCCGAGTCGGGCGCTTGGACACGTACCCATATTGGACATGGGTACCCGAGTCCAAGTAACATAGCTCCTCTCCAAATTCAAGCTCTCCCTCCTAAATCAAGTCTAGAGATAATAATGGAAAATTTTATTAATGCTCAAAGCAAGAAGACCAATGACTTAGAGGAGAGTATCAAGCAAGTGCAAGTCCATAATAAGATGCTAAAAACTCAACTAACTCAACTAGTTAATGCTCTTAAAAGTAGCAATTCTAGCACCTCTTTGCCTAGTCAAGCCATTGATCCTACGGAACATTGTAGTGCAATCATGACTAGATGTGAGACTAGCATAGATGAAACTCCACCAATGAGCTTGCAAAAAGAGAGTGAGAGTGAGGGGGTTAAAGATGAGAAACAATGTGAGGTGTCTAAGTCAAGTGAGGATAAGATGGTTATCATGAGTGAGTCCACCACAGTGAGCTTAACCAAAAATTGTAGTGCAATTATCAAGAACCACTCGCACACTAAACTAAAAGATCTCGGAAGTTTCTCTATTTCTTGCTCTATTAAGAACATTTCTTTTGAAAATGCCCTATGTGATCTAGGAGCTAGTGTGAGTTTGATGCCTTTTTCGGTTTATGAGAAGTTTGGCATTAGTGGGTACCAGACCACCTATGCCAAGCTTCTCATAAACCGAAAAAGGCATCAAAATCACACTAGCTCCTAGATCACATAAGGCATTTTCAAAAGAAATGTTCTTTATAGAGCAAGGAATAGAGAAACTTCCGAGATCTTTTAGTTTAGTGGGCTAGTGGTTCTTGATAATTGCACTACAATTTTCGGTTAAGCTCACTGTGGTGGACTCACTTATGATAACCATCTCATCCTCACTTGACTTAGACACCTCACATTGTTTATCATCTTTAACCCCCTCACCCTCACTCTCTTTTTGCAAGCTCATTGGTGGAGTTTCATCTATGCTAGTCTCACATCTAGTCATGATTGCATTACAATGTTCCGTAGGATCAATGGCTTGACTAGGCAAAGAGGTGCTAGAATTGCTACTTTTAAGAGCATTAACTAGTTGAGTTATTTGAGTTTCTAGCATCTTATTATGGACTTGCTTTTGCTTGATACTCTCCTCTAAGTCATTGGTCTTGCTTTGAGCATTAACAAATATTTCTTTTATTATCTCTAGACTTGACTTAGGAGGGGGAGCTTGAATTTGGAGAGGAGGTTCAGTGATAGGAGCAAGAGAATTTGAACATGCTTAAGAGAATGTACTCCGGAGTCACTATTCGCCTTCACGGTGCTACAATACCATGTGAATTGCTTAAGATGCGCGATGGGATCCTCATGCTTTGCCCCGGAGAATTGATGACCCTCTATCAAGGTGATAAGAGCGGGCCTTATTTCAAAATTATTAGCTTCAATAGCGGAAGTAGCAATCCCACTTGCTTCTTGATATGGTTGAGGGACACTAAACTCTCTCAAAGTCTTGTTAGGTTGAGCCATTTTGAATGGGTGAAGAGGTAGAGAAGTTGGAGAATTTGTCCTTAGTGGTTCTAATGGAGTGGTGTCTCCACTAGATTCACTAGAAATAGAATGATCGGACTCAACTATCACTTGTGGCTCACTAAGTAGGACCACTAGCTATCGCCCTCTTTTCTCTTCGATTTGCCC